AAAATAAGTTTTGAAAAAAGTAAAAACTGATTTCAAAGTACTAACTCACTATCTGAAGTCGCTGTTAAGACATAGTGTATGAAAGCCTTGTGATGAATGAAAGATATCTGAAAGTAAAACCTTAATATTATTATTTTTAGTTCTTTTTTAATTTAATCTTTTAACACGTTTACGTAGACTAATTACTATCTCAATGTGGTCTAACCATTTAAAAATTCATTCCTTACTTGCCACCCTGCAAAGAAAGAATCATGAAAATAGGTCCATAACTAACAGTGACACACATATAAAAAAACAAACGCGAATTGATAACCTACTCCTTTTTTTGAAGTCTGCAAAAAATGTACAAATAAGGAGTAAATTATGCACTTAAGGTGCTTCTTATTCTGTTATTAATAAGTCACTAAACCTCTTAAGTAAAAATGTTGAACTTTGAACGCCTTAATATCCGTGTTTGGGCAACTGTGCCGATGATCATCTACGTAAATTGGTTATTGAGAAAAACGGACGGACAGACATATACTTAGATGGTTCCATAAGTGTTTCGTTTCTGGAAATTCGCTACGGTACACTAAAGAAAGTTAGTGTTCTGAAGTAATGGTTACTTTGCTATAGTTATGGAATAAGAAAATTAATAGTAACTAAGACGAATTTATTCAATACTATTTATTATCTCATCCATATTAATGTTACTGGCACGGTTATGGCCCATTCTTAATCAAACGGATCTAAAACATCACATTCGATTTTCTACTTCGATGTTTACAACTGTGTTACAATTTAACGTCGTAAACTTTTATATTTTATTGTTTATTAATTGAAATGGAAAAGAAGCCGGACGAGTGACGTTCGTGGAGAGACAGATCGGCCGGCAAGAGATGCCATACTCGTATTATAATTTTCCAAAAAAATATCTCATTTCTAGTAATGGAGTCTTATGCGTTATAATCATATATAATCAAAAGCAAATCAAACAATTTGTATGTAATTATGTACTGTGTTTAAGAATTTTTGTTATTAAATATATTTTTATTGCACTTTATATTTTTTTACATCAATTGATTTTTAATATTTATTTAGGGTCCACTATCATTGCAGCTAACTTTTAGTAATGTTTGATATTATGAATTTGATAGATCGTGAATTACACAGTCCTATTGGCTAAAATATTTGGCATGGCAGAACAAGCTTACAGTACCTTAAATATTTGCAATGGTATGCCTAGTTCTTAGAGGTTAGAATCAGACCTACGTTTAAAGGTTGATTTACACGGGGACGGTAACAGGCGCCAGTGTTGGCGCCGACGACTGACTTGCACCGTTTACACGCAGTCAGTAGTCGCGCAGTCAGTGCTGTACTGACTTCAAATCAATTCACATTATGCCAGTAGAGCGGGTCACTGTCACTGACTTGCCACGAATTTGGAGCTAGTTACTGTCCCTGTGTAAATCAGCCATTATATTTAAAATAGCCTGAATTAACTAATGACATCAGGGCGTCAAAACTCTAGTGTTTCCGTGATCGTGATTAAATGTGAATATAAATATGATTTAATATAAGACAAAATTAAACGCGACATATATATTCTATAGTCACTCGCAATTTTGGTTAAAATAACGTTACAGTGCTTCCTTAAAATATTTTTAATATAATGTGTACATGTATTTAAAAATTTTACCGTTAATGACATACATTTAATGGCGGGTTCAACCTGGGACAGTTTTCGTAACCTGCAACAAGTTTCTTAGAAATATTGTTTCGCGTCGTTTTTTTTCCTAGGTACAATATATTGGATACAACGAATTAGAAATCACATAGTTAATAACTTCAACTGAATAGAAGATTAAAAAGTCAAGAACTACTGTTCACGTGTATGGAAATCCATCAACTAATATTGTCCACTGCATGTCATAAGAGGTGTCTAATAGAACCGATAAATAAATAAGCGGTATTACTATCTCTACTATAGAATAAAAGCATAAAATAGCAACTTAATGCTGCTATGATTCGTATGTTGATTGTAAAGAATCGGAGACCTTTTTTACTGGAAACGATGCATTCCAGCTTAGTCCCTTCTGCATTTGGATTCTTAATCGATGGTAAATTTAGATGTCCATTGGTCACTTTACCATCAGTTTGACTGAGTGCTCGTTTTTTTTTTATAGGGTTGGGTGACAAACGAGCACACAGTCCACCTGATGGTAAGTAGTTACTGTGACCCATAGACATCTACATCTGTCCTCAATAAAGACTCAAGATGCAGATGCGTTGTCACCCGTGAGGACTAAGATGGAATGCCTCTTTGCCAGTAAAAAGGGTCTCCGGTTCTCTACACTCACCATACGAAACACAGCAGCGTTAAGATGCTATTTTACGCTGGTTTTCTGTGAGAGCGTGGTCCTTCCCCGGTCGAGCCGACCCATTCGTGCTACAACCATCATAATATAGCTGCAGCATGGCTCTACCACGTAGAAAACTCGTTTGTCACTCTTATAAAAAAAAATCTTGTAAATACCCAAGCTGTTGACGGAATGTAACAAAAATGCGAGGCTTCAGAGGCAACGATGGCCTTCGACTTCGACGATTGTTCTTCCAAGCGGTGCTATAATGTTAAATACTTCATACTATCATTATAATACAACTGTTACTGCCAACAGGAAAGTAATTGGGTAAAATGAAATTATTATGTCGCTTACTGCATTTTTATTGACGACAGTGCTTTTTATTACCGAAGCCATAACAACTCGAGTTAATTAAAGCTACATAATGACAATTCAGATTTTAATTAAGACTGAGTAATAAAACCCGAATACGGTAACAAAAACTTGCGTAAATGTTTTTCATGTCAAAAAACTGGCCGCGATACTGATGCGTTCTTAAAAAGTAACAAATTTGGACAGCAAAACATAAAAGCAAGTTGAGTGCCTTGCAAAAATTAAATTGAGAGATTATAATTTACCTCCTTTATCTCATACGCAAGATAGCGTGTCGGTTGGCATACAAAGTGCACTCAATGGCAAACAACAGAACTTTCCCAAGAAACACCCACTCCAGGGTACTTTAGAAGGTTTTGGTAGAAAATCTCAATACCTTATTTTGATCTGACTTGCGAAATGGGAACCATATGATCTGCAGTCGCAATTACGGCCACTGGACCGACGAGGTTATAAAAAATCTACCGAGGCAGTCAAGAATAGAATATATACAAAAAATATATACAAATAGTACATTCGTACCACATTTACTTCTAAGAACGATTTTTAAACTGTAAACTGATGGACAAGGTTGAAGAATGTCAGTTAATTTTATTAGTGTAAATTAGTTCATGTTAAAAATATGGAGGTATACATATATAAATATATAGTAACTTCCATATTCCATAAAAAATTGTAAAATATTGATGTTTTTATTCTTGGTTTCAATACTTACTATTATATTTACTCTATCTCCTTTTTTGTTTATATTATACCAATAACAAAAATCAACCCAATGTTACGAGTATCGCGTTACAGCACGAATATTTATATAGGTAAGGGAGCACGAGTGACATTGTTTGCGCATAAATTTGTTGCACCTAGGCTGTTGATAGCTTCCTATTATTCGAAAATTGTTTTCGATGTTGCAATTGGACATCATATCATCGAATACAATCAGACCTGGTGTTTATTTAAAGTTGAAGTGTCAAACGAATTTACATTCCACTTTCGACAACCAACACTTTAAACAATGGCTACAGATGTTTTGTCACGTCTGAGGACTAAGATGGGAATGCTTCATAGACTGTAATTTTAATGATTCTGTATACAGTTCTGACAATAATACAACAGTACAAGCACTGCTAAATGACGACAAAAATAGGTAAGAAGATAGTACAAAGCCAGGAAAAGTATCCTAACCCCTAGAAAAAGATTAAATCAAATAATAATTTGTCTAATAAAATCTATGTAAACTGTATGTAAATGTTTCCTTTCCATTTTATACAAATTTGGGCATATAACAGCTACATATAAAACTTCTACTAAAAAACGGCTACTTCAAAAAGGCAGCAATCGATGAAGCTAAAAATGATAACATCCAGATTTTATCTGAACCATCCGAAAAAAAACAAGCCACAGCGGTTACACGCGATGTAATCTTAACTGTATATCACTTTAATGTTATGGTCTTATAGGTTACGGATTAAACAACTAACTTTCTTTTCAAATTCAAAAAGTTATACTTTTTAGGGTCGGAGCATACTAAATGGGTACATAGCACATCCGCAACCTAGCACAATTGCTGCACATGTAACGCACAAGAATTTGGTGTGCTTCGGTCTTAATTGTATTTTCAGTATAAATTAGGATCCATGATATCATATCTGACGATGATGAGTGGATGCTGTGGGCCATAGCCACCTTCCTTTCACATTATTTATTTTCATTCGTTTCATTCTCAACCCCATTATTTTCTAAGAATCAAAGTGCAGCCTCATGAAATACAAAATATTCAAACGTCACTCTCCTCCAGAATGCAAGTTTGCAGTTTTGGGAGTCTTCAAATTTATTGAAAATTCCTAAGCCATTCAGGATTTTGTTTAACATATGAGAAAAATCATGAAGTTGAGCACTTAGTGATTAACTAACGCCGAAGCAGTATATCACACTTCCCTGCCCACTTTTTTAAATTCTTAATATTAAAAACTCGTGCTATGAAGTGGGATCACTTCGTTTTAGTTCGTTCATCTTATAATGTTCTCCACTCTAGCATTGCTATAATATCGAAAGTTCTTGAATAACAACTCAAAGTATTAAAAAGCTGCCACGCGTGGCACCTACGGATATTATCCGTCTTATGAGGAAAACTATAGGGGAGGCCTATGATTAGCAGCGATTTGATAGGCTAATCGTGATGATAATGATGATAATAATTAAAATATTTGGATTTCAAATTTATTTTAAAATAATCAGTTGGTAACATTTTTTTAATTATTTCATTATTTTCTACACATCTGAAAAAAATCACCGCGAAATGGAATTCATATAAGGACACCACATCTGTTCGATCTTGCGACTCTCGTCTGACAATTGATTTTCTGTCATTTGCAGCTCCCGAATAGCTAACACTTTAGGTTTTTCAAATTTTAAATCTTCGGAATCCACACCATGCCTTATCCAGCTTACTTTGTATCCAGACCCTAAAAAAAGGTGTTGAATATTTTTTATATAAGAAAACATGGGTTTACTTCATAATACCGAATAACACATACAATAGTTTTCTTTTAGGCTCAGAAGGGCTAGATCCCAGAGCCGTAAAACCAGTTATTAAAAGAAGACACATACATTTTACACGTGGTAGAGCCATGCCGCAGCTATATTAATTGCATAGTTGTAGCACAAATGGGTCGGCTTGACCGGGGAAGGACCACGCTCTCACAGAATACCAGCGTAAAATAGCAGCTTAATGCTGTTGTGTTTCGTATGATGACTATAGAGAACCGTAGAACCTTTTTACTGGAAACGAGGCATGCCATCTTAGTCCTCAGAGGTGACAACGCATCTACATTTTGATTCTTAATTGAAGATAAATGTAGATGTCTATGGGCTACAGTATCCACTTACTATCAGGCGGACTGTGTGCTCGTTTGTCACCCTATGCTATAAAAAAAAACAGAGTGATGAATCCTCTTATGCCACTATCTAATAAGTTGATAATGCTTTTTGCCTTTACAAATAGCCACACAGAAAGATTTTCCCTTGTGTCGTAATGAAGTTGCTCCGAACGGGATTCGAACCCACCGTGGCGTAGCATCGCCGCAATAAGACGCCATATAGCTATAGCGCCAGTATGATAGTGCTCGGACATATTTATTCTTTATCATCAGCCTGTAATAGTAAATTGCTGTAGCTGGGCTTTTGGCGTTGTATGGCAGATGTATGCAACTTCATAATACCGTAACTATATGCACTTACACACCGGTACTGGTTCTATCCATCTGTATACGATGCGAATCACATACGATAAAAACGCAAGTAAACTTGAATTTAAACAATGTCAGAAACGTAAGCAAAACCACATATTATCGTGACTATAAAGTAATAATTTTAGATTATGAACATTTACTACATTTCTACCATATCTCATAACGGTAATATCCTAACTTAAAATGGTTTAATTGATTTGCGAAGACGACGATATAAAATCAAGACTGTACAAAACACTGTCACCCCGTTTGAAAATAGCAACTAAAGCTGCTGTGTCACATATTCTGAGTGTAGAGAACCGAAGACACTTTTTACTGGAAACGAGGCATTCCGTCTTATTCCTCAGGGGTGCCACGCATATATTTTTTTTTTATAGGATAGGGTGACAAACTTGCACACAGTCGACCTGATGGTAAGTGGTTGCTGTGGCCCGTAGACATCTACATCTATCCTCGTTTGCGAATTAAAATGCACATGCGTTGTCACCCGTGAGAACTAAGATTGAATGCCTCTTTTCCAGTAAAAAGCGTCTCCGGTTCTCTACACTCACCATACGAAACAGCAGCATTGAGCTGCTATTTTATGCTGGTATTATGTGAGAGCGTGGTCCTCCCTCGGTCGAGCCGACCCATTCGTGCTATAACTATACTATTAACAAAGCTACAGCACGGCTCTACCACGTGTAAAGGTTATTAATCCATTGGGCTATGGAAGGTAATGGAACCCGCATTCATAACTAAAGAATACATCTTGTATATTATTATAACATACGACATACGTTATTACAATACTATAAAACAAATATTTCTGGTATTTCTTTTGAGAAATACGAGAAATATTCAGCATATAAAACACACGATATTAAATGGTGTGATATATTTTCTTGCGCTTCCAACACAAGTATCTTCCATTACTATGACATTTTTTTACACGGTTCTCTACACTCACCATACGAAACAGCAGCATTGAGCTGCTATTTTACGTTGGTATTCTGTGAGAGCGTGGTCCTTCCCCGGTCGAGCCGATCCATTCATGCTACAACTATACTACTAATAAGCTGCAGCATGGCTCTACCACGTATATATGATTATTAATTGAGGACAGATGTAGATAGATGTCTATGGACCTCGACATCCACTTACTATCAAGTGAACTGTGTGTTTGTTTGTCACCCTTATTAAAAAAATATAATATACAACGTCAACCCAAAAACTAGATCATCAGAACATAGATAAAACTATAGTTAGCTTAGGCATAAGCCTCCTCTAAGAAATTAGTCCTCTCTTTCAGGTTACACAGCACTGCTGGGATCTAGTCTGAAATACTGAGTATAGAGAGTCAGTATAATCATAGGCTGTGAGTTATTTCATCTTACTTCTCATGGATGACAACGCATCTACGGCGTTCTTTGTTTGAAATAGTCTGTAGGTGCCCATGGACTGCGATAACCACAATAACAACTAACACTCTTTGGTCGACTGTAAATACGTTGTCATTTTTTATTTTTTTATTTATTTATTTACTTAATATTCTTTATTGCACACCATACGAGTACATAAATTACAGAAATTATATATATAAAAGAAGTATGCAATGGGCGGTCTTATTGCTGATAGCAATTTCTTCCAGACAACCAATGAATGGACAGGATTGCACGAATATTATATATTAGTCATTTCAGTTTAATACAAACACTCAAACTTATTGCCAGCATCAGCAATGCCTTTACTGGTAAGAGGTATGGTATTGTAAGTGTTCGACTACTATCTCACCTGATGATGGGTGGATATGTGGTTGAAAATGGTAAAGCGCACTGAACAAGCTAAAAAGCCTATTATTACGTTTTTATTTAGTAACTTTCTTGTTTGTCTGTCGTTCCGGGTGGAATTTATTAATTGATTTTAAACTGACTTACCGATGAGCTGGGAACATGAAATTTTAAATATAACTCAAATTCGGACAACAATCGTTAGGTTTAAATGCGTGGTATATCGACAACAAAGGGGGCCAAGCATCTGCCTAAGATATAGAAACCTGGCAGTCTGGCAATCTTTTTTACATATTCTTTCTTCCATTTTCGAAAACTAAAATTGTATATCAGAAGCCTGATATAACTTCTTTGTACCTAATATTTCAAGAAATGGCAATATAGCTCTATGAAGTGGCAACCGATGGGGAAGAAAGGTTCTCGAGTGGCAGCCACGTACTAGCAAGTGCAGTGTTGGGCAAGCTGGGGACAAGATGGAGTAGTGACCTGATGAAAAACGCAGGCTGTCAATGGAAGCAGGTGGCGCGGGACCGTACTTTGTTGCATTCCTTTATGTTCAGCAGTGGATTTAAGAACGGCCGTAATGACGATGAAGGCGACGACGACGACGACGACGACGACGACGATGATGATGATGATGATGATGATGATGCTGACTTGCGTAATTAAATATTTAATAAGTCCTTATTCATTAAATACTGTTTAGCATTATTTTGTAAAAAAAATAACTAACATAAATAGTAACCAAATTGGGATATTCACTGTGGGAAAATCGACTCGTTTTTACACCCATTTTTGATATTATATTTTACGATCTCTCATTCTTTAAATTTTATTTAAAGGTTAATATTTAGAATCAAGTCGCCTTAATAGGGAGGTGGAGGCGGGGTGAAAGGGGTAGGGATAGATTCAGCGCCCCACCTTTTTCCCCCGCCGGACGTGCCTTTTTTGTATTAAATGTTGAATATTAAAAATTTTATTAAATTATTCTTGAGAAAAATCGCTTTAATAGGGAGGAGGGACGTCCCCCCTCCGCCAAAGTAATACCACGAAAAAAAATTGCCACGAAGAGGATAGAGGGCCGCCATCCCCTTCGAACCTAACCTGTCCGAATTGGGGTGTCCCAAGTCCCGAGCTCGCTTCGCTCGCTCTTGCACCAAACAAAACACCAAAATGTTAATTTGTATAGTTACTTTAAAAAAAAAATTATTTTGCTACTTCCACCATTTCCAAAAACGTCGTAAAATAGCAAGCAATCGGTGTCCACAGGGGTAGCGAAATCGTCGAAAAACAGGAGGCAGATAATAATCTCTCAGATAATAAACTCGGAAGCAACGGATGAGTCGCGAAGTCGAGTGTATCTGTCAATGTCATCTTAAAAAACTTAAAAAAGTAAGAATTTAGAGAAATCTAAGTTCCGTTATATTTTTAGTAAATGATTTTAAATATTTCGACGCAACTCAGGCAGCTAAAATTGCATGGGGGCGCTTGAGATAAGCCCCCTTAACCCCCCACAATGACAGACTCCTCAAGTTCAGGCGATTTGATTCTAAACCCAACCCTATTTAAATTTTACTCACCATCGTAATTGTCGATGATATCTGGCCTCAATGTCCCCACCGTGTAGAACTTTAACTTGGAGACAGCGGCCGCATAGTCCTCACATCTACACCTGTCCATTAATAATAAATTTCATCAGATAAAATTTAAACACATTTATACCTAAAACATTTGTTACCAAAAACGTTATCGCTAAAGATAATATAAAGTACACGGTACAAAAAACTTATAAATAATAGTGTGATTATCACTGACTTGTCACTATTTTACATTACTTTTGTCAAAATTTATATTTTTCATTTTCATTTTTTGTAACTAGCCAGTATTTATTTTAAATGTTTTTTTTTTTTTGTAGTATGACTAACTGGCTGTACTATATGGCATGCGTTGAAATTTTAATTGCCCTAAATGCCTTTTTTGTCAGAAGCATTCGCAAGCGCGTCACCGAAGTTCTTTTTGTAATCGAATGAAGTATGTAAAATGTATCAGTGATATCATAAAAATACGCTTGAAATTATAATTATAATACTAGCATTCTTTTATGAACTTAACTTCAAATCATATGCATGTTAGTTAGAAGAGTAAGTATAGGAGAGTTAGGTATAGGAATTTTATAAACATTGACTTTTCAGCCACATCCGGATGTCTGATTATTCCAAATAACCTTTAACAATAGAGTGAGTTCATGATCTACTAGTCACACTAAGATTATCAAAATTCACCATCTCAACTCTTTTTATATGGATATATTACATGAAACTGCGGTAAAAATTTAGAATCGTTTGGCAGGAGTTGAGAGGGAGAGTATTGGAGAGGGGAGAGGGCAGTGTCCCCTACATTCCCCTACACTTCCATGAAAAGGTAATTCAACGTTCTTGATAAAGATTAAAAAGAAATTCCCATAGACCTAACCTCAAAATGATAACATTTATCTCACTCTGGAAGAAGAATGAAGGGGGAGGGCGTAGCGAGGGTGTCCTCTATAACAACTCTAAGGTTTTCTAGGTGCTCATCAATTTCAGGGCGGTAAAAAAATAACAATGAAGGCTGTGGCGGGAGCTGCGTTGCGCTTCGCTTCCGCAACATTCTAACCCAAACCCAACTGAAGGGATTTCTGAGTGTAAAGTATATAATAATAATAATTTCTGTGTTGATTGTAAACATAATTTATCAACAGAGTATAGACTATAGACTATACTAATCTATGACAATTGTACAATTGTAAAACCAGTGCGTGTTGCCAGTGATGACTCACGGATCTGAGACGTGGTCCTTCACTGCTGGCCGTATGAGGAAGCTCAAGGTCGCTCAGCGAGCTATGGAGAGGGCTATGCTCGGGGTTTCCCTGCGTGATAAACTTAGGAATGAATATATTCGCAGTAGTACCAGAGTAACCGACATAGCCAAACGGATTAGTAAGCTGAAGTGGCAGTGGGCCGGCCATATAGCTCGAAGAACCGACAACCGATGGGGAAGAAAGGTTCTTGAGTGGCAGCCTCGTACCGGTAGGCAAAGTGTAGGGCGACCCCCCACGAGATGGAGTGACGACCTGGTAAGACATGCAGGAAGTCGATGGATGCAGGCGGCTCAGGGTCGTGCTTTGTGGCATTCCTTGGGGGAGGCCTATGTTCAGAAGTGGACTTATGAAAGGCTGAAATGATGATGATGATAATCTATGACATGGTTTTACGCCCTAGTCGCACTTATACAAAATTATATGCTATCCAGCTTTCACAGTAATATTGAATCCGTTTTTTCATTTTCTAGCTATTTATAGGTGATAATAGTTTTTTTTTTTATAATTTTCTCTAAAACAGTGCATTACCTTTTAATACAAGTGGTATAGTTATAATCGGGGACCAAAACCTCTACCAAATACAACTACTTACTCCCGCAAACTTCTGCCAAACGATTGTAAGTCCAACCCGAAGTTGTCTCCGGTTCACTTTATAATATATTCTATTTTTAAGTACTTATTAGTAACCACAATAGATAACCATAGTATGCAATGCATTTTTATCATCATCATCATCATTTTGTCTCCATCGACTTCCTGCCTCTTACCAGGTCGTCACTTCATCTAGTGGAGGACGCCCTACGCTTCGCTTATCGGTACGAGCCTGCCACTTGAGAACCTTTCTTTCCCATTGGTTCTCGGCTCTTCGCGCTACATGGCTCATATCCACTTTTTTTCATAGAATAAGGGTGACAAACGAGCACACAGTCCACGATGGTAAGTGGTTGCTGTGGCACTTAGACATCTACATCTATCTTCGTTTGCGAATTAAAATGCAGATGCGTTGTCAGCCGTGAAGACTAAGATAGAATGCCTTTTTTCCAAGTAAAATGGGTCTCCGGTTCTATACACTCACCATACAAGACACAGCAGTGCTACGCTGCAATTTAACGCTGGTATTCTGTGAGAGCGTGGTCCTTCCCCAGTCGAGCCGATCCATTCGGGCTACAACTATACTATTAACAAAGCTACAGCATGGCTCTACCACGTGTAAAGGTTATTAATCCATTGGGCTATGGAAGGTAATGGAACCCGCATTCAAAGCTAAAGAATACATCTTGTATATTATTATAACATACGACATACGTTATTACAACACTATAAAACAAATATTTCTCATATTTCTTTTGAGAAATACTAGAAATATTCGGCATATAAAACACACGAGATTAAATGGTGTGATAGATTTTCTTACGCTTCCAACACAAGTTGACAACAACACAACAAGTTGACGACAACACCTTCCATTACTATGACATTTTTTTATATTAGACAGTCAAACGAACTGACTGATGAAGAGTGGCTACTGTATGAACTTAATACCTGTAATTATTGATCTCACAGCGTGCAGTTATTGGGTTATCTTAATTTTCTATCGACTTAAAACAGGAGGAATTTCTCAATTTCACTGTATTTTTTTATCTGTGTTACCTCATAACTTTTTTCTGGGTGACCCGATTTCAATGATTGTTTTTTTTTATTTGAAAGCTGTTGCTTTTCATGTGGTCCCATATGAATTTGATCAAGTTATGACTAATAGTTTTTGAGTTATTCTTAATATTGAAGTCGTTTGTACAAAATTTTAAATTTTAAATTATTCAATCTAAACACAGTAGTGGGTGCTTGGTGTTACCAACACCGACGCACCCATAGGCACAAAAGTGCACTTCTAACTTTTTTAATTAGGTGGTAGGACTTCTTTTCTACCGACTTCAAAAAGGAGACGGTACTCAATTCGGCTGTATGTTTTTTTTATGTGTGTTACCTGATAACTTTTCACTGGGTGAACCGATTTCAACGATTCTTTTTTTATTTGAAAGCTGGTACTTCACATGTGGTCCCATATAGGTCTGACCAATAGTTTTTGAGTTATTATTAATAACTTATGTTGAAGTCGGTTGAACAAAATTTTTCATTTTAAATTATCTATTTTGTACTGCGTAGATCCACGTATCTATTTCTGTCGCCAAACAGTAGTGCGCTACAGTTGTGTTTCGGTCTGAAGCAGTCTGAAGGTTATGGAGAGCCAATATATAACAGACTATGAGCATAGAGGTGACGACCCATTTGTAGTTCTTTGTCTAAAGTAGTTTGCAGGTGTTCATGGGCTGCAGTAGCCACTTACCATCAAATGGACTTCAATTCGTTTGTCATTTCTCTTTCGTTGAAATTAAAAAAAACTAGAGAATCTTAATTGGACGTGGTTATGCAAAAAGGATCCAACCCGAGTTTGTGTAAAAAATGTTGACTTGAAGAATAATGTTTGTGGTCTATACTATTATGTGATATAACAATTTTAGCAAACGTAACACAAATAAGAAGAAAAATTACAAACAGATAGAAACCATTCCGATATGATATTTGAAGTATGGATACTTGAAATATCATAAACTCAAATTAACTTAACGCGGGTTGAATCCTTTTTGCATAACTACGTCCAATTTTTCAGTTAGCCATTCAGCGAGGAAACACAGCCAGTGTTCTTGGCATGATGCCACAGAGGGTAGGACTGTATGACAATTAAAAATTTAGTCTTAGGTTTTCTTTATTGAAGTTTTTTTTTTAAATATTGTGTGTAACCTTTTAGGTTGATTTAATTTTATATTATGATTTAATATCTCGTATAAAGGATTAAGGACGTTAATATATAAATTTTGATTTATGTTTGACAAACTAAGAAAAAAAAATATGTTGTAAATGTCACACCTATGCATTTTTACGTTACGTTTGTGACACATGTGGCTTAATAAAGCTCAAACAAAATAATCCAGTATGCATACATCGCACATACCACATCAGATCGGAAATTAAAAAGGGAATAACCCCAAGGAGCTCCCACTGGAAGCCTACCACCGCGTCAATTGGCGGTGTTATAAAATCAGTCACAAGTTATAAACCGTGCAATAACTTGCGCGATATACGAGCGATATTCTCCAACAACGAAAAAACACTAAACAACCTTTTATAGCCGGCCGATTGTAAAACTGGGAGCATATTAGCGATACAGCAATCTTCGGACGCGTGCAAATCGTATTTTTAGAGTCGTTCCTCGAACGTTACATCATAAAGTGTAAACATTTGCATCCTTTTTTCTGGGCGCGGGTCATTCCGGTTGGCACGTTCTCTTTACAGGCGCTTTAATAAGTAACTCATGAGGCGTTATAAGCATTATCAAATCGGCCGCATAAATTACAACTTCGTTATTATACAACTGACACTTGATAGCTCAGTGGCGATGGTCAATTTTTCGAAACACGAACACAAGTGAATTACATTTTGTATTCAGTTCTTAAGAAGATATTTTGTGTATACAAAAAAATATTTCTCTGTGTCTCTCTAATAATGACCCTAGAGCAAATATCTATATCTTACAAATAAATATAATTAAAATGTCTGTTTGTAATGTCAAAATACAGCTTTTTTGTAAATGCATGTGAAAGTATATACGGTACTTATAACAAAAGAACAATTTTTTAAATTTTTCTCTCTCTGTCTGTTAGTTCTGGCTAATCTCCGAAACGGCTGGTCCGATTTTGACGGGACTTTCACTGGCAGATAGCTGATATTATAAAGAGTAACTTAGGCTAATATTATTTTAAAAAAG